GAGTGCATCAATCAATGCCCGATCATTTGTGGTCTCAGCCCCGGGACATTGGTAGACACACGCCATCAGGTCCGATGAAGTCAATTCAGGTCAGGTCAGCCACAGAGAACTTGCGGGTTGATGCAAATGCATCCAGTTCTATGCACTTGGGAGCTGTGGTACGATCCCAGTTTACTTCGACTGCCGGAGAAGTTCTTCATGCGTCACCTCGGGTTTCTGGATGACGGGCAAAACTGATGTGCGAATGAGATGTTGGAATGTTCAATTGCTAATATCAGTAGGCTCCAGTCAACAAAGAGTCATTGCCTGAACCGGTTTCTATGCGAGAAATTCATGCCAGGCACGCTCTACCGGCGTGTAGGTATAAGGCGTAAATCAAGACTGGGAGAACGTAAGAGTTTTATTGCATAAAAGAAAGAAAATAAGAGTTATTTGTCACAGACTAGAAGGATAATAGGGAAAAAGAAATCTAAACAAGATATAAGACTAACTTTGACATGATACTCTCCGGATGGCCTGTGATTCACTTTGCACAGATCACTCCAAATCAGGGAACACAGTTAGCCAGCGGTCATCCAGTTCATTAATAAAGCTTATCACATTCGAAATAGGATGTCATCTTACCAAGTTGGCGAGTGAATTATTAGACGTGAGCGTTCCATGACGTGTACCAGTAAAAGATAAAACGGTATCTTAAACATTTGGAACACCTACACTCGCCTACACTGCCAGTGATGAGAATAGTCCCACCTATCGTTTATCGGGTGCAGTCCTAAATGTTAGCACTATCTGGAGGTCGACCATTTCCTGGGGAAGCCGGTTCCAACTGTCGAATATCCTATTGCTGAGAAAGTGCTTCCTCATGTTTAGTCGAGCTTGAGCTCGTGACCCCTAGTGCCATGTTGGGAGCTAATGTGGAGAGACTGTCCGCTCCTATCCCCGATATTCTCGTCATGATTATGAAGGTTTCTATCAGGTCTTCTCGCAGTGTCCTTTTTTCTAATGAGAAAAGCCCCAGAACCTCAAGTCTTTCCTGATTTGTTCTCCCACTTTGACCTTCAATCATTCTGCTGGCCAAACAATGAAATTTCTGTAAACAGGCAGCATCCGTCTAAATTAATTGTGCCCAAGCCTGCACGCAGTACTCTAAGTGCGGCCTTTATCTTTGTACAGGGGGATTTCCTACACGATAGTAGTGACTTGAACCTGAACATATCTGTCCTCGCCCTCGTTGCCGCGAGTCACACGGGTTCCCCAGCGGAAATCTGCCGCCACCGATATTCCCAAGTCTCTGCTGGTTCTTACACACTCTGCTGTGAAATCTTCCGCCTAGTTGGATTGACGGTTGTTCATTGAACCAAGAGACTAAAGTGCTTTTCTCTGCATTCAGACAATTGCACTTAGTTTCGAACCCATGAATTCAAAACGTTAAATAGAAGGTCCCACTCTGTTACCCATTCCATCGCAATTCGCAGGTCATCCATCAATTTCCGATGGGCTGATACCCCTATCGTGTCAGCTTTTGCAAAAATAAAGCATGGCGAGTATAGGATGACAGCCAAAACGTCCATGAAAATGAGGAACAGTTAGGGTCTAAGCAATGAACACTGTGGAACTCCACTGGTGGGTATGGATTTGACTGATACTTTGTCTTCACGTAAAACTTGCGACCGATCAAGAATTCCCTCACCCAGTTATTTGTATTCCCGATTATTCCCTTGTGTTTGAGCTTAGCTAACGGCAACCTGTGATTGAGGGAATCAAAGCTTTGCAAAAGTCTAAATAACAAACCTCCATAGCCATCCCCCCATTTGACCTCAAGGGTACCTCATCTAAACAACACAGTAAGTTAGAAAAGCATCATATAACTTTGGTCAACCCGCGCTGTGTATCGGTGACCAGCGAGTTTTGGAGCAATGTCCAATGTGCGTCCTCACTATCCTTTCGTGCGGAGCAGATTTGCAGCCACTTAAGGGCATCAATAGCCGTGAAGAGATTACCGTCTGACTGGAGTATAGCTAGGGTATCAGCCATACACAAGGGTGGTATGAAGACAGATGATGAGGACTACCGACCTGTTAGTTTAACTAGAGTACTGTGTAAGGTGCTAGAATAGATAGTCAGAACGCATCTAGTGAAGCCTCTGGAGCGTAACATTCTAATGACAGAGGCACAGCATGGTTTCGTTAAGCAACGTTCAT